TCTGGTTTGCAGGCAACACTCTGGTTCCAAAGCAAAGCGTGTTCTCCCTAAAATGAGAGTATGGGTTGCGGTGTGGGCCGACAGGCCAGCCCTCTGTTGCCAGGCAGGTTAATGGCTATTGCCTGGTGCAACGATTGGCTGTCCGGGTTGCTGGGGCAAATTGCATGTAGCAAATTGGTGGGTGGAACCATAGCCTTTAAATATTGGGGCACTCTGCCTTTTGGTTTCTCTTTAGCAGAGTGCATCGGACCGCCCACCCGCCCACCCTCTGTTCCGGTTGACCTTGCTTTGCCTGTCATGGGGTCATCTGCCTTGGGGCAGGGGCCTAGTAGGAATTTTGCCATTTGGCTGATTGGCTGGTGCCACTTGGTTTTTGCCTACTACTTAGCAATTCGTCACAACTTGTGAGGTTGCGATTAGGCATTGGTTATAAAAAGCTGGTGGTGGAGGGGTAAGGATAAGCTGTGCCTGCCCCTCCAATGGTGCTGGAAGGGAATTTCGTTAAAGGAATCCTGGGGCTTGCCACGATTTCGTCCAATCCCTGAAATGGGACCAGGGCCGGCAAGCCTTGGGGAGCTGGTTGGGTGAGCTGAGCGGTGAGGGACTGACGCTCAGCTCAACTGATCCCCAACATTGTCTTTCCCTTCACTGGCTTCCGATGGAGTTCGGAATGTCAGTTCTGTCCCAGGCGGGGGGACAGATAGTCATAACCAATGTCTAAGCAACCACTCACAGATTTTGTATTTTAATAAAGTTGTGGCCAAAATAGTGCCCAAAAACCTTAAACTTAAATTGCGTGTGATGTGTGAATTATTTTGAGGCGTGGCTTGGGGACCTACACGTGCAAGTTGCACCATTATGTACTGTGCTTGCCTCTCACCCCCTAGAAATACCTATCAGGTCCATTTGTACCCCGCAAAGGACTTCTCAGTCAACAGATTGCCAGCTCATCCTCTCCATCACCGAAGGAAAACACTAGCTTGGCATGAGCCCTCTTCAAGTGTTCCTACCACTTTAGGTTGGGGAAAGATAGACTGCGGTCGCCCCTCCTGTAGCACTCCCTGTGTTGGGAAGTGAATTTGGGAAGACCACAGAATTTAGAAGCTGGCTGCGCTACACCAAGCCTGTTCCAAATCTGATTGTCAAACAGAGCCAAGAGAACAAACCTTTTGTTCAGAGTTTATTCAAAGATAAGCTTAAAGGTGTATCCACTGTCTAGTATGGATGGAGAAGCTCTAGATCATGGGTAGGCAAACTAAGGCCCAGGGGCTGGATCTGGCCCAGTCGCCTTCTAAATCCGGCCCGCAGATGGTCCAGGAATCAGCGTGTTTTTACATGAGTAGAATGTGTTCTTTTATTTCAAATGCATCTCTGGGTTATTTGTGGGGCCTGTCCGGTGTTTTTACATGACTAGAATGTGTGCTTTTATTTAAAATGCATCTCTGGCTTATTTGTGGGACATAGGAATTCGTTCTTTCTTTCCAAAATATAGTCCGGCCCCCACAATGTCTGAGGGACAGTGGACTGGCCCCCTGCTGAAAATGTTTGCTGACACCTGCTATAAATGAACTCTATATAGATTGATCAAGTTTATCTCTCAAGCTATCTGGACGTCAATCTGTTGTGAAGGGTAGAAGGTCGTAGTAGATCCCATTCTGTGTGTGTGTGTGTGTGTGTGTGTGTGTGTGTGTGTGTGTGTGTGTGTGTGTGTGTGTGTGTGTGTGTGTACAGTGGTACCTCGGGTTAAGTACTTAATTCATTCCGGAGGTCCATTCTTAACCTGAAACTGTTCGTAACCTGAAGCAGCACTTTAACTAATGGGGCCTCCTGCTGCTGCCGCGCCGCCAAAGCACAATTTCTGTTCTCATCCTGAAGCAAAGTTCTTAACCCAAGATACTATTTCTGGGTTAGCGGAGTCTGTAACCTGAAGCGTATGTAACGCGATGTACCACTGTGTGTGTGTGTGTGTTTGTGAGGGGACTGGGTCTTGGGGTTGTCTCCCTATGGGACAAGTAGGGTTTGCTCATTGTTATTTAGTGATTTTGCTCACTGCCCTTACAAACATGAGAGTAGGAGGCATTGTGCTGCTTCTATGAATGTGCAGCTTAGAATGTACGCCTTCATAATATCTTAGATAAACCAAACCGGAACCTGAATTCAGCATCTCAGGGATGCGCAGGTATTGTCAACATAAGAAAAAGCCTTCTCAGTGGTGGCCCCACACTTGCAGAATGCTCTCCCCAGAGAGGCAAACCTGGCGTCATCATTATATTTAAGTACTATGTATCTTTTCTGCCAGGCATCTAGCCTTTAATTACTTGCTCCAACGGGTGGGATGTCTTAGTCCTGCCATATTTATGAATACAGACGTGTTTTCATCTTTCACTCTGTTTCAGTTTTAAGTTAGTTTTCATGCATGTGCTATTTTTTTCTAAGTTGCTTTGAGTTCTAACTAATAATGTCAAATTATTATTATTATTATTATTGATATAATCATGGGTATGAACATATCATGTTCCTGTTTTCCTGCTGTGTTGTATCAATAGACCCATGCACTACTAGTTCCTGAAATAAAATAACAGAACAGTGGAAAATTGCTAATGCATTGGTTCTGCTTCAAAGACAAGACCACTTTCCGGTGTATCTTTCAACACCTTCCCCCGATGCAAAAACGTAACACCAAATTCAAAATTGGCTCCCTGGACTGATTAGCTCCATTATTCTCCAACTTTGATAGAAAAGCCAGGCTTTTCCTCCTCCTTTCTTCCCCAAGAACAACAAAAAACATTTCCAAAAGTAGCTTGGTGGATTTAGTGTACCTACCACGAAAAACACATGCAAATCCCAGCACACTCTTTGTGCTGCAAAGAAAATGTCTTTCTCTGCTGTGGCTTGAAGATTTAACCCAACCACTCCAAAATAACCCGATGCATTGTGACAATTGCTGCTTGACGGTGCTGGCAAGAGGAATCTCAGAAGTCAGGCTGAATGAGTTTTGGTTTTGCTAAGCAACATTTTGAAATTTCTCCATTTGACGAACACAGTAGAAATTATGGGCTGATTTAGGTAGTACTGGAAAGAGGAGAACCAGTGTGGTGTAGTGGTTAGAGTGTCGGACTTGGACCTAGGAGACCAGGGTTCAAATCCCCACTGGACCATGAAGCTCACTGGGTGATCCTGAGCCAGTCACTGCCTCTTGGTCTAACCTACCTCAAAGGGTTGTGACTGTGGAGGCCAATTCTGGATCCACACGTCCTTCCACAGTGGGGACATTGGTTTCCAGTTGGGAGTTGATCACGGTGTGGATTTGCCAAGCGTGCCTTCCTCTTAGCACGATTCTCCCGTGCATCCTGAGTTTGAGTGTCTTCAAAGCCCGTGACACCTTTGGTAAAGGCTGTTCTCCAACTGGAGCGCTCGGAGGCCAGTGTTTCCCAGTTGTCAGTGTTTATACTACATTTTTAAAGATTTGCCTTGAGAGAGTCTTTAAACCTCTTTTGTTGACCACCAGCATTACACTTTCCGTTTTTAAGTTCGGAGTAGAGTAGTTGCTTTTGGAAGACTATCATCAGGCATCCGCACAACATGACCAGTCCAACAAAGTTGATGTTGAAGAATCATTGCTCCGACACTGGTGACCTTTGCTTCTTCCAGTACACTGATATTAGTTTGCCTGTCTTCCCAAGTGATGTGTAAAAATTTTCGGAGACACCGTTGATGGAATCTTTCGAGGAGTTGGAGATGGTGTTTATAAGTGGTCCATGATTTGAGCAAAGTTACCTTCAGTGGAAGATGGCCCATTGGTGAAAATGGGGTACTGCCTGACCAACCCAAGTCTGCTCCCAGCCAGCCCCCACTTGTCTGCCATCTTACTTACACAACCACACGAGGAGGGGTCCTGCTTGTCAGCTTCCTCCTCCTTAGCTCTGCTCCTTGAAGGACTCAGCAGAGAAGAGGATGGGCACAACACTGGAATTAGTTAGCTCTGCCCATCATTTGCCACCCACCCAGCTGTCAGTTACCTGACATCTCAACGATGCCAGGTGATTGGATGCTTTGACGTCCTGAGGTTGGGACGTCAAAGCAGCACACAGTTTGCAAATTGCCCTGTGTGGTACTTTAAAACACCTGAGACTTTGGAGTGACTGGGCATCAGCTGATGGACAGGAGAGCCAAAGCTTGCTTTCCTTTGCCAATGCACAATCAGGAGCACACTAAGTGTTTTCATTTGTAGCCATGAACACCTGTCACACACCTGACATCAGTGCAAGGTGTGGCTCTGGCTGTCCACTTTATCCTCCTTTGTCTCAGCATCGTGTCTTGTAGGGAGGAGGCAGGGAAATATGCCGCAATAATAATTTACAATTTGTTGCTGCTCCAGGACACTTAGTTTCAGCTGCCCAAGGCAGATGCCTCATGGAACCTGAGTGCAGAACAGGAGTGGGTCATCCTTGTGGATACAAAAGGTGCCCTGGCAGAGCTTGTGGAGTTGAAGTCTATGCAACTATGTGCAAGGAAATAAAAATGGAGTCTCTACAGGAATCGCTAATGCTTTGGGTGTGCTGTGAAGAGCAGTCCTGGGAGAGCAGCCAAAAGCAGTCGGTGTGCAATTTTTAGGCCACAGACATCCTTTTATTGGCCGAACCAAAGCCAATTCTATTGTATTTCCATTTATGTGTTTGTCTCACATCTAAAACAAACCTCCAAATCTTCAAGAGGGGGAAGGTTCATCTCACATTCTTTGTTGGTGTGAAATTCTGTATGGGGCAAAGAATTCCATGTTCTGTGGAGCTGCCAAGATGCCCACAATGGATGGTGGCAAGAGGTTCTACCATAAACTTTGCTGCAAGCTATATTTCTTTGTTTCTAGTCTAGACCCACCCAACTAGATAGATGTTGTGGAGAGATCCAGGGGAGGGTCATCACACAGAATCATAGAATTGTAGAGTTGGAAGGGACCATGAGGATCATCTAGTCCAACCCCTTGCAATGCAGGAATCTTTCACCCAATGTGGGACTCGAACCCATAACCCTAAGATTACCAGCCTCATGCTGTACCAGCTGAGCTATCGCAGGTAGCATGCAGAAGGTGCTGGGTTAGAGGGATCAGGAGAGGACTGCCTGGAACACTGAACAACATAAGCTGCCTTATACTAAATCAGACCATTGGTTCATCTAGCTCATTATTGTCTACACTGGCTGGCAACAGCTCTCCAGGATTTTGGGCAGGAGACTCTGTCAGCCTTACCTGGATTGAATATGGGACCTTCATTCTGCATGGCCACACTGAGAGTCAGTGTGGTGTAGTGGTTAAGAGTGGCAGATTCGTAATCTGGGGAACCGGGTTCGCATCTCCACTCCTCCACATGCAGCTGCTGGGTGACCTTGGGCCAGTCATACTTCTCTGAAATCTCTCAGCCCCACTCACCTCACAGAGTGTTTGTTGTGGGGGAGGAAGGGAAAGGAGAATGTTAGCCACTTTGAGACTCCTTCAGGTAGTGATAAAGCGGGATATCAAATCCAAATCTTCTTCTTCTCTTCTTACATCCCTTCCTGTGAGACCCTGCCTGCCTGAGATCTCAAAAAAGGACCTTGAAGAGCTGGGAAAGGTATAATGAAGGAGATTGAGCAGGCTGAAAGCAAAGAGTAAGGTTACCGTAACTTCCATCATAGAGTTTCAGTATGCTGATGACAACGTAGTGTGTGCACACTCAGAGGATGACCTCCAAACCATCCTAAATATCTTTGCAGAAGCTTACGAAAAGCTTGGCCTATCACTCAACATCCAAAAGAGGTCTCAAGGCAAATCTTTAAAAAATATAGTATAAACACTGACAACTGGGAAATACTGGCCTGTGAGCGCTCCAGTTGGAGAACAGCCTTTGCCAAAGGTGTCATGGGCTTTGAAGATACTTGAACTCAGGACTCAAGGGAGAAACATGCTAAGAGGAAGGCACGCTTGGCAAATCCACACCGTGATCAACTCCCACCTGGAAACCAATGTCCCCATCGAGCTGGCCATGTTTCGTCAGAGACCCTAGAAGGCATCTGAGATACTTGATCCCGACAGCCTGCTTCCCATTAAGTGCAAATAAAACCAGTGATTAATCTCTTAGAAATCAGCCGTATTTGGATAGGATGAAAAGGAGAATGCTTTAAGAAGAGAAGAAGGAGTAATTCATACCTTCTGAGGGACGGAGCCCTCCATCCTGCCAGTAGCCTAAATATTAGATCTTACATGCTCTCCACCCAACAGAGGTGTTGAAATGGGAGCGCAGTCGATCACCACGCCGTTGCTCTTTGAAACAAATGAAACCCACTCATCAAATCTTATTAAGTCCTGTCACTTAACAACAGCTGTATCAAAGAGAGAAATTGCTGCCACCTGACACAAGTCCCACGTGAACCAGCTAAGACAAAAGATATGCAAAGGCAAGAACGATGAATATTAAAGCCATCAGTCAGAGAAAGGCTGTGATGCATACATGAAATGAAATATTAAATGCAGTGGAGGAACTTCCTTTGTCTAGGCAGAAAAGTGAGTGGGACTCACCGGGGGGAAAGGATTGGTAAGTATGAGATGCAGAATTTAAAAAGTATTCATGTCTATCCAAGGTGGTTCATAGAATCATAAAATCTTGGAAGGGACCCAAGGGTCATCTAGTCCAGGGGTCAGCAAGGCTTACCGGCCATGGGCCAGACCACTCCCACAGAGATCATCCGTGAGCCGGGCCAGCACAGTGTGACACCAGAAATCGCATCTGCGCATGGCCAGACGCCGGAAATCGCGACTGCGCAGGTGCGATTTTCGGCCTCTGACCATGTGCAGATGTGATTTCCGGTATCTGCACGTGCGCAGACGCGATTTTGGCTGCTGCTTGGTGAGTCCCCGTGCACGTGGGGGGACTTGCTGAGCAGGCTGCTCGGTTTGTTGGGCCGCAAGTTGCCAACCCCTGATCTAGTCCATCCCCCTGCAATGCAGGAATCTCAACTAAAGCACCCCTGATAAGATGGCCATCCAACCTCTGCTTAAAAACCTCCAAGGAAGGAGAGTCCGCCATCTCCCGAGGGAGTATGTTCCACTGTCAAACTTACTGTCTGCTTAGCTGGAGTTGCCTTTCTTGTAACTTGGAGGTTTCAAGTCCTACCCTCCAGGTTGAGTGGATTTCAGGAATGAAAATGGGTTTCCAGTCTTCTTTAAAAGATTCTAAATTTGTGTCTCTTATCACTGCTGTCAATGTCAACATTTCTGCATACAGTGGTACCTCGGGTTAAAGACGCTTCAGGTTACAGACGCTTCAGGTTACAGACTCCACTAACCCAGAAATAGCACCTCGGGATAAGAACTTTGTTTCAGGATGAGAACAGAAATCGTGTGGCGGCAGTGGGAGGCCCCATTAGCTAAAGTGGTGCTTCAGGTTAAGAACAGTTTCAGGTTAAGAATGGACCTTCAGAACGAATTAAGTACGTAACCAGAGGTACCACTGTATTCCAAGGTTTTCATCAACCATCTTCCTTTGAGGGTGTTCTCCTTCCATTTCTGTGCATAGAGAATTCTTGCCAAAGTGGTCACATACATAAGTACTGTTGAGGCTTTCAAATGTGGTAAGCATTCTTCATAGGGAAGTTGCCCCTTTTCTGAACCTTTTCCTACTCTACAATATCCTTTTTGAGCTGAGGCAACCAGAACCCCAGAATTTATGTTGATTGCATCAGCTTTCTTTCTGTTGGCTTCCTGACATATATCTTCTTCCTACTTCCAGCATGCCAACCCGAGGCGGAAAGTCCTCGCACATGTTTTCCGAGATATTGTCCCATATGATAAATGGATAGAAAATGGCGACAATTCTGTATGTTTTATCGCAAAGCACCTGTCATGCTTATGAGATAAACTGCAGAATGCAACATAAGCACAGAGAAATGGCTATTTCTTAGTTGCTGAAGGTCTGTGGTTATGAATGGAGGAGCCTCCGTCGCGCAATAAACAGTCATTACCATCACTGGTTGAAGGTCGTAAGGCTCCGTTAAATAGACAATACCAGCATCAGGGACTTCCATTAATAACAGCACGAAAAACGTTCCCATGTTTTGAGCAAGGGATGTGTGGTAATCGTAGACGCTAACTTGAACAGGATATTGTGCTTGGGACCTGTTTGCAGGTTTCACACAAGCATCTGTGAGAACAAGGTGCTGGACTCAATGCTGGTCTCTGGACTGATTCAGCTGACTTTGTCTTATGTTCTTCTGACTCGTCCCAGCTAAATACCTAAGGGGTGGGAGGGGAAAAACACAAGACTGAAGTCTCTCAGGTGTTGCCCTTCTCTGGTTTTGTGCTGATTTTGACCTATTAAGCCTTAAACATCTCAGGACCACAATACCTCAAGGACCACCTCTTTCCATATGAACCTTCCCGGATCCCCAGATCATCTTCTGAGGCCCTCCTTTGTGTGCCTCCTCCTTGGGAAGTCCAGAGAGTGGCAAGATGAGAACGGGGCCTTCCCTGTAGTGGCTCCCCATCTGTGGCATGCTCTCCCCAGGGAAGTTCGCCTGGCGCCTTCCTTATACACCTTTAGTCACCAAGCAAAAACGTTCCTTTTTAACCAGGCCTTTGGTTGATCTGATTTACATCCTATGCCCTTTTAAAATGTTTTTTTTGGGGGGGGGCTATTGGGTGGTTGTTTTTTATTTTTATAAGGTATTTTACGGTTTTATATCTTGATTTTATTCTGTGAACCGCCCTGAGACCCCCAGGTATAGGACGGTATAATAATAATAATAATAATAATAATAATAATAATTTTAATCTTTTGTTGGAAGCCTCCCAGAGTGGCTGGAGAAATCCAGCCAGATGGGTGGGGTAGAAATATTATTATTATTATTATTATTATTATTATTATTATTATTTCCAGCTCTCCCCTCCAGAGATAGCTTTCCTTGACAGCTGGGATAGCTCAGCAGGAAAAGCATGAGACTCTTAATTTTAAGGTCATGGATTCAAACACCACTTTGGACAAAATACTACTGCATTGCAGGGGGTTGGGCTAGATGGCCCCCGTGGTCCCTTCCAGCTCTACAAAGTCTATTATTCTCCGTCACCCTTTTTTCCTTTTTCTTTGTCACATAAGTTATCCAGGAAACCAACATAAAATGTAGGGTTATTGATGTGATGAGCAGACAGGGAGAGCTGCACACAATGGTCATCTCAGCCTCTATTGTTCGATGCCGCAGTGGTTGTTAATATTTGCCAAGCTCTTCTGCTCAGTGGGCCCACAGAGCTGCTTACAAAGGCTGGGAGAAAAAGGAAACAACAGTGCATGAAAACAAGAAGAAACAATATGAAACCACGGACGAAAACAGTCATTAACAGCAGAAACGGCTAAAAACACGGCGGCTCAGCTAGCTGTTAATCACCTCTTTGAATAAATACATTTGCAGGTGCCTGTTCAGACAAGCGAAGGTCAACTGAATGCTGTTCAGCAAATGATGCTGAACAGTAGTGCCATGAGCACGGGACCCCCATAAAACCTCAAATACAGTGTGGTGCAGTGGTTAAGAGCGGTAGACTCGTAATCTGGTGAACTGGGTTCGCTTCCCCGCTCCTCCACATGCAGCTGCTGGGTGACCTTGGGCCAGTCACACTTCTCTGAAGTCTCTCAGCCCCACTCACCTCACAGAGTGTTTGTTGTGGGGGAGGAAGGGAAAGGAGAATGTTAGCCGCTTTCAGACTCCTTCAGGTAGTGATAAAGTGGGATATCAAATCCAAACTCTTCTCTTCTCTTCTTTCCTTACACCATGGGGAAGACCCATAACTCAGTGGTACATCATCTACATTGCACACAGAAGGTTCCAGGTTCAATTCCTGGTATCTCCAGCTGGGAGAAATCTCTGTCTGAAGCCCCTGTGAGCTACAGCAAACCAAATGATATTGAGCTTGGTGGACCAACAGTCTGATTCAGTCTAGGGCAACTGCCTGTGTTCTGCCAGACCTATGCATGGGGTATAATGTATCCATTCACACACACACACACCTTGCAGGTAAAATGACTGAAGGGCGGACTGCCCAAGCTGCAAAGCTGTAAAACGGCAAAGAGTGCCCACAAAACTGGATATAAAGAAGATTTATGTCACGTTTGCTCATCGCAGGGGAATTTGTCTCGAGGCAAGCTCCGGGAAGGAAGATGAATATCTCACCCAGACATGTCAGCAGTATCTGGGCAGTTCATACTGAATTAAAAATAGAAGGTGTTATTTCAGATGTGGGGGGGGGAGAATATGTTTGGGTATTTAAATTTGTGTGCACCTTAGAATGATCATTCATTGCCTTTGCTCTTCAGCAGCATCCAGGCCACATCTTGAAAAACCAGAACACCTGGCCTGGACGTTGTCGCATGATCGGCTCCTGGTCTGATTTGGGGCTGAGGATGCTTCGAGGAGGGAGTTCTCTTTATCAAGGGCAAGACAGCAAGAACAGCCTCCCACTGTCACTTTTAGAACTTGAGCTGATTAGGGCTACCCACATAACGACCTACCACATGAGGAAGTTTTTGGCACTTCCTCATGTGCATTTTCCTCCATTGAAATATCCATTCCCTTTTTGAGCAATTTTCACTTCAATCAATCAATCAATCAATCAATCAACCTTTGCTGGCATACAGAGAAGGCAGGAATAGATGAATCTAAGCATAGAATTGGCATCTGTTCACAGAAGGAGATGCTTTGAGATAAAACTATACAGACCTAATTAGGTTAAAAGGTAGTACTCGAGTCTTATGACAACATAGTTTCTGTCAGGAGCTCGTCCTACACTCGATTAGGAACCTGGCAGAGACACGTGCCCGACTGGCATGTTCCCTCCCTCCTGGTCAATTGTTTGGGAGCTTCACAAGCTTTCTTCTGCCCAAACATCACAACGACCAATGCCAACAGACATCGGCACACTTAGGGATACGCAGAGTCTTCGCAGCTTGCGTGACAGACCTCAGCAACTCAGCATTTTGGCTAATCTACTTTATTTACTTATAAACACACATGGAGCACTGCAACATGGCTCCCTCTCTCTCTAGCATCAGACAGCAAAGAGACAAAGAAGAAAGGACAATAGTCCCACTTCACGGAACACAGTAACACAAACATCCTGTCTCCGTCACTTCCCACTCTGTGGAGTCGAAACATACACCGCCATGTGATAAACAACAATCCCATGACTGCAATCACGGAGCAGTAATCTTCAGCAGTTTCATGGTGTTCCTCAGGTATTCTGCTACTTTCTCCATTCTGTCATGCCCACAGCTATTCAATAAAAAGGAAACCCTGTAGGAGTCAGAACAATTTAACCTCTCCTTCAGCATGGGGCTTAAACATTTGTCATGGGTTGCTGCATAAAATGGGCAGTAGAGGAAGACATGTTCAATGGCCTTGACTTGTCCTACATCACAAGGACAATATCCTCTCCTATTTTAGTTATCGATGGGGATGAATTCGGCTGGACATGGCTTCCAAAACTGAAAGAGATCATTTCCGGGGTGCGCACTATCCTGCAGCTTTCTTATGGCACTTGGAAGCATAGATGAAATATACTCGGAGTCAAGTGTGGATTTCATGCTCTTTATTCAGCTCATAGTGGTGGGGAGGAATGGAAGTTCCCCCGAAATGTCTGCTTTATATACATTATTTACACAATGGGCCCCACGTGATTGGCTAATTCCGGGATTCTCCTGTAGGCCAATCAGGTTGCGGATTCACTTCCACCTGGAGGTGGATTGGATGGCTCCTGCGGACCAATCAGACTGCTGCAATTTGGATCCTATTCAACTCAGTACATAACACCAGATTTGATCCAAGGTGGGAAGAGTGCACCCAATTATTCTCTCCGCAGTCTTTACAACCTTGGACAGCATTGTTTTTTCCCTGACCGTGCAGCTCCCAAATCACACACACAGAGGATTCTCAGAAAATATAACCTCTGCTGTGCTCTCTTCATCAGGTTTTTACTGTTTTCTCCCCAGGTTAGGTCATCTCTCAACTCCATTCCCAGAAATCGAAACACTGAGACCTGTTCCACACACTTCCTCTCAATAATGAGTGGCTGACTATTCAATTTACATTTCCTAAAGTCCACAATAATCTCTTTTGTTTTCTTTAAGTTAAGGAGTAAGTTGTTTTTCCTGCACCACTCCCTCAACTGCTCAACTTCCAGCAGCTTAGACAGGAGTTACCTAGCTGTGAGATAATGGCAAGAGAAACAGAAGGGAGGGAACAGATAGCAGAGATTTCATTAGAGAATGTGGGGGACCCTCCCTCCCCACAAACTAGGAGGTCCATCCATATTAGAGAACAAAGAATGCAGAGAGGAGGAAGAAATTCTCATTGGCGCCCAGGATGTTGCGGGGGACGGAAGGCGGAAGATTTAGAGTAGCCAACTGCTCTCCTTGTGGAGAGATGTGGATTTTTGCTTGCAACCAGATGACTGAATAAAAAGGACAATAAAATGTAAACTGTTCGTTAATTCTGGTCTGCGAAGTTACCGGGGGGAGGAGAGGACTCTCCATGCTGGACACCTTAGATGGCAGGGAAGCTCCATCTAGCTCATAAATGTCCACACCGATGGACCAGAGATTCAGGCTGGAGACATTCCCAGCCCTACTTGGAGATGCCAGGGGTGTAGAAGAAGGCAAAACAGCTTCTCAGCCACTTCCGAGAATAGAAAGGAGCCATTTTGCAAACCTCTTGGAGCACAGACTGCTTTGCACATTGTTGTTCTTGGTTGTTTTTTGCTTTTCGAAACACTGGTTTTCATCTGGATTCCTATTTCCCTACAGATTTTCGAAGATTTCTTCTTTAAAGAATGCACATGGAAATGGGACGGACTGGGATTAATTCCTCTGTACATCCCTGGTCCCACTGTGGGAGTTTCTCTAAGCAGATCCCCATTTATCTGTCATGAGAATGACAGCACAGAGGAAGAATGTTGTATACAATGGAGCTAATTAAGACATCGAAGGCCTGCCAAACATTGCCATAAAGGCAATATAAAATCAAGACTCAGCTACTCCAGACATTAAGAGCTAGAGAGTTTCCTGCAAGCATTTCAACAGTGCCCATAATAACATATTCTGTGTTGGATCCAGATCAAATGAATACTTTATACTGTGGAGGGTTTGTTTTTTTAAAAAAAAATACTCCTTTAAGTATGGAAGAGAACACCAGCTGATTTATTAATTCATCTCTCATCTCTATTGATTACATTCGCTGCTACAATGGATCTGGATGTGTTCTGTGATAACGACAGAAACCTTAACCCCAGTTCTTTTCTTTTTTCAGAAGAAGAGTTACCGTGAAAATTGTGGCTCTGAACCTTACAATGATGTCAAAGGTGACCTTCAGAGTTAACCCACTGTGGCCATTTTCTGTATTATGATGCTGCTGCTAGCCTGCGAAGTCTGGAGGCTTTAAGCTGCGATAAAGCCACTTCCGCCCTTTGGAGGAGGTGAAATTGCAGGCTTCACGGCCCCACCATGCACGTGGCAGGATTTGGCAAGATGAACCATTGGTCTGATCCAGCAATGCTCTTTGTAAGTTCTTATGTCGACTGTGTATCATCTGTAACTCATGATTTCCTCTTTCTCCTGCTCCTTCCTGCTTTGCAGTTGCTTACAGCTTTGAACGTAGTTTCCCTCTCCAACATAAATAGCATAAACTGATTCTTATTTTTTTCAGACATTGCTAAATGCAGACCTGGGGAAAGGGTAGATTTAAGGCTCCATTGCTTGCATATCAACCAATATTAGCTGCGATGTCAAAATGACGAAGGGGCTGCCTCTCAAAGTTACATTAGCTCATCGATAGCAAGCGCACCTGAAGATGGCTTTCAGGTTCGGCTGTATCTGAAAGTCGCATATTTTCCCAATGATTTTCCTGACCTTCCCAGCCAATACGAATAAAGAAGTAAGAACTCTGCATTGCTCCGCAAGGAGGGAATGGCTGGCAGCCAATGGGATAATGATATCACGTGCC